TGATCGATAATTCAACTTTTCCCCTTGTTGATGATCGCTTTAGCGTGCTTGATGCCAGCGCAAGTATCCTCAAACATCTTGAAATGAATGGTCACGGGTGCCCTTCACCCAAGCTCTTAATACAAAAATGTCCAATCAGCAAACTCCGTTGTTTCGAACTCTTTCCAGCAGCTGGTGAGAACACTGAGAAGCCACTTCCCCGGGTGGGAACCGATCCCGTCTACAGGTTTTAATTTTCACGCTGCCAAGAGCACTGCCTTGTTGTTATATGGTGTTGGTGTTGTCGCGCAGCGAACCTTTACATGGGCACGCGGCAGCGTTGAATTGACCAATTGATGCATTGCATTATCGAGAAACTAACCTTGCCTCAACCTGTGAGCCTGTTCTTTCCTCCCTGGCGTAACGCTTGTTCCCCCCCAGGGTAACGCTAATCATCGCATTTGGCGGGGAGGCCTGGACCCCTCCCTACATGGTGGGGGCGGACTGTGCTCCCAGTCATGGCGTGGTGCTGAGAGGCATGCTTTGGTGCTCATAAGCGTGTTGTGGCGCTTGCAGGCCCCCCATCTGTTGCGGCGCCGAGCTCACAGGCCTGGCGTGGTACCGAAAGGCATGTTTCGGTGCTCACTTGAGTGTTGTGCGTTTTGTGGCGCTCGCAGGCTACTGCGGTGCGCATAGATCAGGCGGACGCTGTGCCGAGGTCCCCCTTGCCCGTGCAGGGCACGCGATGCAACCTGTGCGGTGATACCTATGTCGGCACCAGTGCAAGCCTTGCGCGGGGAGCAGGAGGGCCTGACTGCAAGCGTTGTCTTGGGAATTCCACCGCGCCGGAGCTATCGACCCCATCGTGAGGCTCCTGCTGGTCCTCCTGTTGTTGCTCCTGTTGCTCCTCCTGATGCTCCTCCCCACGCTCCGTATTCCCTCTTTCAACGAATGCCGCCAGGACCATTGAAAGCGGAGGGGAAGAGGACAGGGAGGAGGAGGTACACGAGGAGGAGGAGGAGGAGGAGGAGGAGGAGGAGGAGGAGATGAATCAAGAATCCTGAGGCCTCCGTGGTCTGTGAAGAGCCCCGCAAGGGGGCCTCGCAAGCTACCAATGTGCTCGCTGGCACGTTTGGCGTTCTGGTATGCAGGCGCTGTGGTGCACGGAGGAGTTGTGGCGTGAGGCGCGGAGGTACACGTGGTTGCTGTTGTGTACACAGGCGCTGTGGTGCACACGAGATCTCTGGTGCACGCAGGCAACGATGTGTACGCAGGCGGTGTTGCGCACACGGCTGCTGCAGTTTACACAGGCACTGCGGTGTACATCGGCGACTTGACGCTGCGGTGCACGCGGCTGTGGTGGTGTACGGCGGCACTGCGGTGTAGGCAGGCGGCGGTGTGTTGCACGCAGGCATTTGGCATTGTCGTTTGCGCAGGGACTGTGGTGCACACAAGCGATTGATGCGCCGGTGGCGCGAACGCACCTTGGTGGGTGCTAGTCCAGGCCGCTGTTACCATTACCCTCCGGCCCGACCCCCCCCGGGCACCGAACGTTACCCCGGAGAGAAAATAAACGCTCACAAGGATGATCGTTCTATCGTGCCTTGCTGTCTGCTCAGGTATTCTCAAACGAGCACGGGTCCCCTTCACCCGAGCACTTGATACAAGACTGCCCAATCAACAAACTCCGTTGGTTCGAAATTTCTCCCTCTTCTGGCACTGCGGGCATCATGGGACACTGGGCAGAGTCGAAGGTGTCGAAGCCATCTGAGGGGTCGGAGCCGCCGTCGGTGAAACCAGCGGAGCGCAAAAACCCTTTCCCCTAGCCCGTATGTGCCCAGTGCTCCCTCAGGTAGCTGGCGACGATGTGGACCTGCCGCAGGAGCCGGCGCACCATCCAGGGCCACTTGGCCCCCGGCATGCCAGGAGCGTCCTCGATGTCAGCGATCGACAAGCCGAGGTAGGCGACGGCATCGTGTCGTGCACCAGACTCTGGAGCGTCTCACTGATCTCCGTCGCCAACGGCCCGAAATCGCAGCCGGCCAGGCCCCAGGCGAGGTCGGCCCAGCGAGGTTGGAATTAGACGTCCGCCGCGCGCCAGGCTCTCGCCACATGGCCCGTCTTCAACCAGCGGACCTGGATGCTAAGCGACTGGAAGTCGCCGTTGGCGAGAAACCTCTGAAATCGACTCTGCTGGCGGGCGCCCTGGCGCCACCAGACGAAAAACCCTGCAGCAGCTCCTGTACCCGGTCGGAGGGGAGCTTGATGATGCCGCTTGCCGCCTCGCTCTGCGGCAGCTGCGGGATGCTGCAGGATGTCCTCATGGGTGTCCACGGGGACTTCGTGCCGGATGTACGTTGGCGGATCTAAATCCAAGTGTTTTTTTTTTTTGATTTCGGGCCTGCTCCATCCTTAGCAAACTCCTCATTGGAGTCTTAGTCAAATCGCATTGCAATTCTCTGAGTCTGGGAGTGTATGATTCCGTATTGACTTCTTGTGTGGTATTTCTGTGTTCATGTCTTCCTACCATGTATAGGGATACATCGTGCAAGATATAATGAAGGAGAGACAAGGATAACGAACCATACGTGTATACATATATAAATGTACAGATATCCCAGGAAGCGAGAGAGAGAGAGAGAGAGGTGCAATCCCACACACAACACACATGTATATACATATAACGGCGCACCGGGTCCGGGGGCCCGGGGCCGGGACCTCAACCACAAATGTGGGCTCCGGGGGGCCCGGAGGCTCGTCCGGGCTTGCCGGAGGCCTCCCCGGTCAGACAAGACGGCCCCAGGAGCGCCCAAGACGGCCCAAGAAACTTCCAGGAGGCCTCCAAGAGGGCTCCGAGATGCTGAAGATGGCCTCCAGACGTCCAAGGACGCCCCCAAGAGGCCCCAAGAAGCCTCCAACATGCGTCCCAAGAGGGCCCCTAGACGCAAAAATTGGCCCATTCCCTTCGTAAAACGTACATTTTCAACAAAGTTGTCTTTTGGGCTTTCCGACGTTACAGGACGGCCCAAGAGGCGCCCAAGACCGCCCCAAGACGGCCCAAGAAGCTTCCCAGAGGGCCCCAGGACAGCCCAAGAGGGCCCCAAGACGGCCCAAGAGGCGCCCAAGATGGCCCAAGAGGGCCCCAAGACGGGCCCAAGAGGGGGCCCAGAGGGGGACCACGAACCGCAAGCTCGAGCCTTCCGCCCCAAGAGGCCGCCAGGAGGCCCCAAGGAGGCCCCTCAAGAGGCCCCAGGAGACCCCAGACGTCCAAGGACGCCCCCAAGACGCCCCAAGAAGCCTCCAACATGCGTCCCAAGAGGGCCCCTAGACGCAAAATTGGCCCATTCCCTTCGTAAAACGTGCATTTTCAACAAAGTCGCTCTTTTGGGCTTTCCGACGTTACAGGACGGCCCAAGAGGCGCCCAAGACCGCCCCAAGACGGCCCAAGAAGCTTCCAAGAGGGCCCCAGGACAGCCCAAGAGGGCCCCAAGACGGCCCAAGAGGCGCCCAAGATGGCCCAAGAGGGCCCCAAGACGGGCCCAAGAGGGGGCCCAGAGGGGGACCACGAACCGCAAGCTCGAGCCTTCCGCCCCAAGAGGCCGCCAGGAGGCCCCCAGGAGGCCCCTCAAGAGGCCCCAGGAGACCCCAGACGTCCAAGGACGCCCCCAAGAGGCCCCAAGAAGCCTCCAACATGCGTCCCAAGAGGGCCCCTAGACGCAAAAATTGGCCCATTCCCTTCGTAAAACGTACATTTTCAACAAAGTTGTCTTTTGGGCTTTCCGACGTTACAGGACGGCCCAAGAGGCGCCCAAGACCGCCCCAAGACGGCCCAAGAAGCTTCCAAGAGGGCCCCAGGACAGCCCAAGAGGGCCCCAAGACGGCCCAAGAGGCGCCCAAGATGGCCCAAGAGGGCCCCAAGACGGGCCCAAGAGGGGGCCCAGAGGGGGACCACGAACCGCAAGCTCGAGCCTTCCGCCCCAAGAGGCCGCCAGGAGGCCCCCAGGAGGCCCCTCAAGAGGCCCCAGGAGACCCCAGACGTCCAAGGACGCCCCCACGACGCTTCGCGTCACCAATTTCTTCTCACAACGATTCCTGGGTCTGTGACTCGACAGACCCTAAGCGCGCGCGAAGCGCGCGCGTGGTTCTAGTATATATATATATATATGCATGACTTACATCTATATTTGTGTGTGTGTGTAGAGAGAGAGAGAGAGAGAGAGAGAGAGACGGGAGAGAGAAGGTAGAGAGAGAGAGAGAGGACACCATACATACTTATAGAAATAGAGAGAGATGTAGAGACACGAGAGAGGGATATATATATATACATATATATATATATATATATATATATATATCGAGAGAAACCGAGAGAGATGGGAAGATAACGCTGAAGATAGCGAGAGAGAGAGAGAGAGGAGGACGAGAAAGGGACAGAGGGGCGATACGTATATATCTTCACGGGGGCCCCAGAACGGTTACAAGGCGGTGGATACGTAAATTAACTCCGCCTTGCCCGAGTGCACCTCATCAGGAGCGAAATACGGATGTACACGTACCTGAATCCACGCTGGTTTCGAGAGTACGCGTTGCCCGAATGTTCGTACCACGCGGCCAGTGTCGCGGATCGAAGGGCCGTGTTCATGCACATAGCTGGGCGCGTACGTCCTTTGTGGGCTCCCTATCTCAGAGTGGCGTTGAAGCCCCGGCGACGGCCGTGAAGACCCCGAGACCCGAAGCAACAACAAGAACCCGAGCATCGTGAAGCGTCACGACCGGGGCCCTGCATCCCACCTCTCCGTGACGGCCTGGAGGAGGAGGAGGAGGAGGAGGAGGAGGAGGAGGAGGAGGAGGAGGAGGAGGAGGAGGAGGAGGAGGAGGAGGAGGAGGAGGGGGAGGAGGAGCCGGATCGCTCCGTGACGGCCCCAGGACGGCCCGAGACCAGGCGAAGAAGTCGCCCGCCGCGCAGCTCTCGGGGCAGGGCTCCGGGTCGGCCCCTCCGCCCGCGTGCCTGCACGGCGCGAGGCTCCTACTACTTCCGCGCGCTGCCCTGCGAGCTCTGCAGGGCGCCGTACCCGGCGTACTGCCGGTCCGAGGAGCGCGGCCGGGAGCCCTTGGTCGAGGCTCTCGGGGTGGGGGAGGAGGAGGAGGAGGAGGAGGAGGAGGAGGAGGAGGAGGGAGGAGGAGGAGGAGGAGGAGGAGGAGGAGGAGGAGGAGGAGGAGGAGGAGGAGGAGGAGGAGGAGGAGGAGGAGGGGGGGGAGGGCGGGAGGGAGGAGGAGGAGAGGAGGAGGGAGGAGGAGGAGGAGGAGGAGGAGGAGGAGGAGAAGGGGGAACAGCAGGGGGGATAGGCACAGGGTGGGATGCATCGGCCCCCAATCGCCCATTGATCGCCGATAGGGGGCCCGAGAGCCCCGACCTGCCCAGGGAGGTGCGGATTCACGATCGCAGTCCTATCGCTGATCCATTGGCGATGCATCGCCGGTTCCAGATCGATGCACCCCCCCCTGTGCCAGCCCCCCCACATCGTTGCCCCTCACGGACGGCCGGGGAGCAGCGGTGAATTGCAGGGGCAACGTTCGGGAGGGACGGCATCGGCCGAGGGCGGGCCCTGTGCACCTGGGGGCGCTCCGGGCTAGGCTCTTGGGCTTTCTCGTGGGTTCTCAGCGGTTTTCGAGTTTGTGGATGCCAGCCAGTTTTCAAGCGGTTTCAAGCTTGTTTTTTCGTAAGTTCTCAGCGGTTTTCAAGCTTTTGGGCCGACTGCGCTCCCCAGGTGCCCGCATCGCTCCGAGCGGCTGCCGGAGGCCCGACTCTTGTCCAGAAAGCCGGGGGACAACGATTTGGGGAGGAAGGACTCAGAGGGGGAAGCTGGAAGGTTTCTCCGAAGGGCTTAGGCGACCCGTCCTCCTTCTCCTCCTCCTCCTCCTCCTACTCCTCCTCCTCCTCCTCCTCCTCCTCCTCCTCCTCCTCCTCCTTCCCCTCCTCCTCCTCCTCCTCCTCCTCCTCCTCCTCCTCCTCCTCCTCCTCCTTTTCTTCCTCCTCCTCCTCCTCCTCGCCCTCCCCTCCTCGGGTCGCCTACGGCCCCGGGGGAGACCGTTTAGGGGAAGCATCGACCTCCAATCGCCCATTCGCCGCACGCGAGGGTTTGACAGCTCGCCCTACTCAGGAACCTGCGGTCTTCCTTATCGGGGGCCTGTTGCCGATCTATGGGCGATGTATCGCGGATTCCAGGTCGATGTTTCCCGCCTGAGCCGGTCCCTCCTAAAAGTTGCGCCTTACTAAGGCGCAACTTTTAGGAGGGACTGGCTGCGTCAAGTTGACGCAGAGGATGAGGAGGAAAAGGAGGAAGAGGGAGGATAACCAGGAGTAGGAGGAGGAGGAGGAGGACCAGTGTAGACCCAAGTCGCATCAACGATGTTTTATTCTACCCTCGCTCCAAGTTCCTTCTCCAAGGGATCCTACAACAATCAGCAGGTGGTCGCGAGGCACTCGCCCAGCCTATGAGCGCGGGACAAAACATACAACAATCATTTTTCATTGCACGAAGTGCTCCATTGGAAGCCAACTGTTACATGATCTTTGATCGCCCCAAATCAAAATTCTTGGGACCTCAACGCAGCGAAACAACGTGACAGTTGCGTCTTGAAAATCTGTACATCGTGCCAGAAACCATTGCTGGGACTTGAGCACCGCGAGTCAACGTGCTTGTTGCGTTGTTCTGGCGATCCGGAATTGTACCAGAATGCAGTTCCTTGGACTCCAACCATACGAATCCTTTAAATTGCTGCGAACTTTCAAAACGCATGGGCGCGGCGCTGCGGCGAGAGCCACATTTTGAAAAAGGAGCCGCCCCCCATCATTAAAGCTGTTGCACACGTTCCAGACGAATTTGCGCGGCGCTGCGGCCAGAGCCACATAATTTGAATGACTTGCCATCCATTCTTGCAACTGCTGGCAACTTTGAACATACATGTACGCGGCGCTTAGGCGAGAGCCACATTTTACAAAGCACTCGCCCTCCGTGCATGAAGCTGGCGTGGATTTCAAGCTTCAGGACAATGAATATTGAGGAGGTGTCAGCCGAATGGCCCGCCCCTTCCTGTCGACACGTCTTGGGGTGGGACACGGACGACTTGTTGATAAGGAGAAGGGATGCGGGAGGAGGAGGACGAGGAGGATCAGAGGCGGATAAGGGTGCCGGTTTTGGGCCTTCTGGGAGGCTCTTGTTGCCGCGGCTGGATTTGCCTCGAACGTCTGGTCAGAACGCAACCCTCGAGAGGCTGGGGGAGTGGCAGTACAGATTTTTTTGATCCCCCCACGAGAAGGAGCAGCACGCAGCGGCCCCGAGCTTGCCAAAGTTTGGCGAGTGCAGGACAAGCAGGAGCGTCGAGTATCGGGTCAGGGGTCGTGCTGGGTTTCGGGCCGGGCCCTGTTCGTCCCGTGCGGCTTCTGGCTACTCGCTCCCTTTCGCCCCTCGCTCCTCCTCGCTCCTCTTTGCTTCTCTTTGCTCGTTCCTTTTCCTCCTCGCTCCTCCTCCTCCTCCGTGCTTTTCGCTCCTCGTCCTCCTCTTCCTCCAACTTCCTGTCGCACCCCCAGACGTGAGGGTAGGCTGGGCCAGGCGTTTCGCTTGTGACATCGTCACCATGTATCATCCTGGCTCAGTATTTCCAGCAGTTTCAAGAATGACGGGCGGGTGGTTGTCACAACGCGGCCAACGTCAGCGCCGCGCACTCGTTTTTTCACGCCATAGTTTGCAACAGACGCATCGATGGAATGTGGTTGGTTTTCAACATGTGGTTCTCGCCGCCGCCCCGTGCACATGCGTCCCCAAAGTTTTGCAGCCGGTTTACCGATTGAGGGTGGGTGGTTTTCAACAGGGCTGGACCTAAACGCTGTTTTGCTGGACTTCGACCGTGTTTTGTTTTTTGTTTTTGGCAGGGAGGTACAAAACGCAGGTAGAGCAAAACGAACAACAAAACAACAACACAACGAAACACAACGTTTAGGTCGAGCCCTGGTTTTCAACATGTGGTTCTCGTCTCAGCGCCTCGCACATGTTTAAGACAATTGCAACTGCTTTCTGCATGGAGGGCGTGCACTTTTCCAACTGTGGCCCTCGCCAGAACACCGCGCACACTCGCCCCAACAGTTTGAGGCAGTCTCGTACAGTGGAGGCCCATGCCAAGAAACACCCTGCTTGCCTCCAGGGTGCCCTGGGTGCTGGAAAGCGTGAAGTTCCCACACCAAAATTCAGTGGACGTCCCTGGGGTCTCAGGGTTGAGTTTCTTGTGGAAGACTTCTTGTGGACTGGCCTTCATTGTAGATGGATGTCCACTTCTTTCTCAACATGTGTCTCTTGCCTTCGCGCCGCGCGTGTGTTGGCCTCAATCGTTTGCTACAGGTTCACAGACGGAACGTGTGTGATTTTCAGCATGGGAGTTCCGCCCTAGCGCCGCGCCCATTCGTTTGAAACGTTTGCACAGTTTGCACGGGCTCGTGTGGCTCAACTCCTGGGAATGGTGTTCTGGCGCGGTTGAATATTGTCAGGACATCGCAGCCACGTTGAGTCTCTGTGTTGAGGTCCCAGGAGTGCTGTTCTGGCAAGACTTCTGGTTGTAAGGACGCAACAGTCACGTTGACCCTCGGCGTAGAAGTCCCAGGAATTGTGCTTCGGCGCGGTGAAGGATTCACAGGCGGTTGTTTTCTCACGAGCCGTTTCCAACAATGAAATGCAGTCCTGCAGGGCATTGAGAAGAGGGAGTTTTAAGCGAGAGTTTCTTGCAACACCACGCACACTGCACAAGACGGCTGCCCAGTGGGATGCGTGGGCCGAGCTCCCTGCTCGAGGCACATTTGGGTGAACGCAGTACCGCAGAGTATGGCATCCAGTGCACCTTCCCCTGCGACTCACACTGTGGTGGAGGATTTCTCGGACGTCTCCTGGGGACTGGAGGCGACATCCGCTTCACTGATCGCTGCCGAAGGGCTGCTGCTGGCCGGCGAGTGCCCGCTCGAAGGTGGTGGCAACAAGAAGGGGGCCTGCAACGTTCGAAGGTTCCTGGGGAACCAGCGGACCTCTACCGTCGGAGTCGCCAAGCTCCAAGAGCTCGCGGCCGCAGCACTGCCTCGAGGCTGGGGAGCACTGCCTAGACGCTTCCGGCGATGGACCCAGCGCCAGTCCACCCAGCAGCGCCAGGGGCAACTGACACCAGTTTGAAACATATCCTTATCCCCGTGTTTACCATCACCTCACCTCGATGCCGACCTTAAGGATTTCCTCAGTTTCTGAGGGCACATCCCTAAGATTGTCCCTGTTTTTTGCTCGCCCATCTCAGAGATAGGGGTAAGGTTCGAGGCTGGTTAGCTGCTGGAGCAGGTGCGGACACTCTCGAGGAAGGGCGTGGTGTCCTCCGAAATTCCAAACCGGACGGGAGTTCCATGCAGGTTGCGTGGAGCGTGCAGCCCGATCTGTAGACACTTGTGGCGGACGGCCCTCGCTCTGACACGTCCCGCCCGGCTGTCGCCCGAAGACCTGGGCTCCCATTGGATTGGTCGGGTGCGGCATCGCGGGTATTCGCTAAGTCGGGCTGGGTTCGTTTCGGCTGCCCACCGATCTCTTTCACACGTATCGCGATGCTGACTGCAGCCTGTGAGATTGCTCCTGGGCTCATTACTCCAGAACTCGGGTGTTTGATGTTAGCCAACTTATTTTTCTTTCTTGCAACATAGTTGCTGCGTCTTTGGTTTACACGGGTCCTCCTCTTCTTCCCCCTCTTCTGTGTGTTCCACTATCCTCCTCGGCCTCTTTGGTCCTCCGCCTGCTGACGTGCAAAAACAGAAGGACTCCGCTTCCTGAAATCAATTATCCTCGGCAGGCCATGGTTTGTAATTGGTTGTTGTTGACAGCGCGACTTTGTTTGTTTTTTTCGTGTTGAAGGGCCAGGGTTCGGTACTCAGACGCATCGTGTGAATCGCTCGTCCTCCGTGCCGAAGGGGGACAGGAAGGGAGGAGAGAGGAGGCGGGAAGGAGGAGGAGGAGACGGATGAGGAGGATGAGGAGGAGGAGGAAGAGGAGGATGTGGCGGATGGGGCGGCAAGGGAGGCAGACCGTTACGGCTAAGATTTATATATATATATTGTTTCTCCTCATTTGCCCTTCCCCTTTCTCATCTCCATTCCTTGTCCTGCTCCTCCTTCCTCCTTGTCGCTCCTCTGTCCTTCCACCTTCCCTTCCCCTACCACTCCTTCGGGGGATCGTGGGGCGCTAGTAGACGACATCTGTCTTGGGGGAGGTACGGACTCTTCATTCTACCCCACAACTCTTGGGCTCACATAGCCGCGGTGTCCCTCTTGCTTTCCCAGCTTCGTGGTCTCGTGGTCTTCTTGTCCTGCCCTGCCATTGGAAGAGTCCTCGTGCCCACTTGGACGCCCAGGCGCGCCGACGCTAGTGCTGTGCTCCTCCGCCTTCCCTTCTTTCTGTGCCTCTTGCTGCTCCTCCTACTCTTCCGAACTTCCTCCTGCGACAGCACCTCCTTCCCCGATCGGGCTCACCCCAGCGTCGCACTGGCACCCTTCACGGCTCGCACCCTCCTCGTTCAGATACAGGGCCCCATCTTGTGGTTGCCCCCCTCGCACTGCCGGACCTCCTGCCACTTCCGGGGAAGCGCCGCTTTTGCGCGTACTCTGTGGTCCTTGCCAGGCCAAGCCTAAAACGACGCGAAGATCGGGACAACATCGGATCGGGATAACTCGAAATCTCTGAGAATCGGCGGGTTTGGAGGATGTATTGGGCGCCGCGTCCGCTCCAGAGCGTTCCGGAACGCTCTGAGAGCGCTCCGGAACGCTCTGGAGCGATTTATCCCGATCCTAGCCCTGTTTTGAAGCCTGCGCCGAGGATCGCTGCACACGCTCTCCTCGCCCATCCCAGGAGGCGTGTACACCGATCCTGGGACCCGAGGTGTCCCGGCCAGGATCAGGATTGAAACAAAACACACAGGCAATTAATCGCCGATTCCCAAGAACTATGGGAAACTATGGGAAGGGGGGGGGGAAGACGAAGATTCCCAAAAATATAGAGACATTGGGGGAATCCTGGGATGAGTGTGTGTTTGTGTGTCAAGGGGCTCCTTTACAGCATCAGTGCAGAGGTGCTGTCCTCTTGCGCCGATCTCTCACCCGTCAGCGCGCGCCGCGTCGGGAGGTGCCCAGATGCGAGGGGCCCTTCGTGGTTCTCGAGAACATGATGCGCGACGCCCAGCAGCACGTCGGGCGCCGAAGGGTCAAAAGTGACACCGGGATTTTATGATAGTTTGTTTTTTATGCTTATCAGTGTGTCACGGTAGGTTCGTGACGAACGAACAACACACACCCATACCCTCAAGGGGGTCGTTGGGAGAGGGACTGGCTATGGGTATGGGTGCGGGTTGTCGGACCCTGGGGAACGCTCCCGTTCGAGCGGGGACCCCCATCCGACAACACGCACCCACAGCCCTCTCCGACCCCCCTTTGGGTATGGGTGTGTGTTGTTGGTTCGTCAGTTCGTGTTTTGTCGACCAGCGGCGAACCTGACGCCGGCGTTCAGCGTTAAACTCCTGCGGCGGCCAAGGATCGGTCGATGTTGAACGATGGGACGTTGTGGAAAGGGCCGATCGTTTAAGGTTGAACGATGCCGAGATTCGAGAATCGTTTGCTCTTTGTCTTTCTCAGTTCGGGTGTAGGACAGGACCCCAACCCTGACACGTCGCTTAGTGAATCCTCCGTTTTCGGTTCTCGAGAGGGCGCCGCGGCCGTCATTTTCCAGGCTTGCGCCCGCCAGGTTTGGGCCCGAGGTCGTCTCCACTAAACCACGTTGTACAAAAGGGGTTCCTGTCCATCCCGAAGTTTGTTTTTATTTTTATCAGTGTGTTAGCACTACTGAGCTCATATTTTTTGATGCGTGGGCGGGTTTGTCGGGGTTTCGTCCACTGGGCGCCAGTCGGCGCTTCGTAGGCGCTTCGTGTGGGTGGGTGAGTGTGTCGGGTTTTTTCACTTGGTGGTCGCCCGTTGGCGCTTCAAGGGCACCTCGTGTGGGTGGGTGTGCTGGTTGTGTCTCCCGTGGGTGCGTCGTGGTGTAAACCACATAGCATGCACCACGTAAAGTGCACCACATTAGGTGCACCACACGGGTCGCACCGCGTGGCAGCTTGCACCAAAGATATTGCACCACATAGCATACACTGCATATGTTGCCCCGCGTAGCTTGCACCACGTAGCTCGCACCAGGCAGAGTGAGCCACCTAGCTTACACCTTATGAACACGTTCAGGCACATATGTGTGTATCTCTGGATGTATGTCTTGATATACGTAACTATGTCATTACAGAGTGTATTAACATATCATGCCGTTATCATACGCGCCATCAAAAGCATGGCGCAACCAGGGAAGTCCAGCCCGAAGTGTCGCCCCTCCTGTCCGTTCCGCGTCTCTCGCGTTCCCCTTCCGCTCCCATTTGCGCGCCTTCTTTACCCGCGATTCCCTAAGCAGCTGTGCTGACCGGGGTCCTATAGCAGTAGAAGCTAGTTCTGGTCAAGGGACCAGTGCTCAAAGATATCCGCCAACATTTGGGGTGGTCTGGCCAGTTTCGCCAGAGACGCCCTCGCAACTCTTTTTTCGGAGATGCCCTGACTTGAGGTGGTCTGGCCAGTCAGGCGTGACACATTATTGCAATTCTGAGCTTGGAGATGCCGACGTCCCCACATCTCTGGGCTCGGAGATGCAGCACGTGAGGTTGTCCAGCCAGTTTCGCCAGAGACATTCTCGCAACACTGGGTTTAGAGATGCCGCGTGACATTTTCCGGCTAGTTTCGCGTAAGAAAGCCTCGCAACTCTGGGCTCAAAGATGCCCTAACCTGAGGCGGTCTGGACCGTTCGTTCCTTTTGAGACGTCGTCAGATGCTACGCGAGAGATGGTCTGGCCAGTTCCGCTTGGGACGCCATCGCATGTCTTGGCTCGGAGATGCAGCGTGCGTGGCCAGTGACGCCTCAGACTCCCTCGCATTTCTGGGCTCCATTTTTGGGCTCTGATATGACCTGACCCGAGGTGGCCCAGCCAGGTTCGTCTGCGATATGCCGCGCGCAAGTGATCCAGCCAGTTTCGCTTGAGACGTCCTCTTGTGTCTGGGCTCGGAGATGCAGCGCGCGCGGCCAGCGTCGTCGGAGTCATCCTCGGAACTATACGCGCCGAGATGCCTTCATCTCAGTGGTTCGACCAGTTTTGCCAGAGACATCCTCGCAACTCGGGCTCCGAATTGTCACTCCACAGACATTTTCGCAATTCTGGGCTTAGGGATGCCGCGCGAGAGGTGGCCCAACCAGTTTCGTGGGATCTCCTCTCATCTCTGGGTTCCAAAATACCTTGCACGCGAGGTGGTTCGGCTTGTTCCGCATGCGATCCTCGCAACTATGGGATCAGCGACGCCAGGCGCGATGTGGGCTGGCCAGTTTCGTTTGAGATATTTCCTTGCAATTCTGGATTCCTAAATGCCTCGTACGACGTGGTCCGGCAAGTTTCGCCGTTGGGGCTGCCCGGGCTGCCATGCGGCATGCCAGGAAACTCATTCAAAGCGTGCCCGCTCGCTTGGGGCGCACGTTGCTTTGTTGATGTTGTGCCTTAGCTCGGAGTGTGCAAGTGCTGGGCTATTCATTGAGGACCGACTGCTCGCGCGCGGGCAGGCGCCACTCCTTCTCGGTGATTTGTGCTTCGCTGGGGCAGCGCGGCAGATGTTGCATTTGTCGCTGCGCAGCGTCGCGAGCAGCTCCCGCGGGCCCCTGATTGACCGGCGCCTTGCCAGGCGCCCGCGGCTGCGCGTTGCCTGTTGGCCGCTCGTCAAAAAGCCCCATTTCGGATTGTTTGAGAGGGCCATTTGCGTCTACTACGCTTGCCAAGATTTTTTTGGCACGCGGCATCGCTAGCCCCTGGCTGACAGGCCACGTACCCACGGGATGTGGAGCGTGGGGTTGGATGCTCGGGTCCTCGCCAGGCCAGGGGTCACATCGAACTTTGGGCGCTCCACAGTCCTGGGGGCTGCGCGCGTGAACCAGTTGATCGCCGTCAAGTTACCCGTGGTCTGGCGGGACCCAGATTCCGCGGAACGAGATGCATGCGTTCCCTGGGCGGCGCGCCGCGATGCAGCACCCCCGCTGCTCCGCCGGCACCGTTGGGCAACGTTCGCCCGTTGCGGCATGTCGTGTCTGGCGCTTGTGATGGAGGGCAAAGGACGCGTTTCAGGAGGGAAAGAAACACACAGACACAATTAATCGGCGATTCCCCAGAAAATGTAGGAAAATATGGGAAGTGGGGGTGAAGACAAGACCCCAGAAAATATGAGAACATATGGGGCATATTTTTGTTTGTGTGTATTTCTTTGTGTGTCCCAGGGCCCCTTCAGCGTTGCTTTCACGTGTCGCTTACGGGGGGGGGCGCTGGCGCGCCGAGTAGGAGGAGCCGCGCGCTGCCGGCGCGAAGAAGAAATTGGATGAGGACGAAAACAACGCGCGAGGAATACAGGCGCCGACGAGAAAGATGACGTTCGTGGGAGCGCGCGGATGTGAAGTAGTGGCGCGAATCAGGCGAGGGGGTTGGACGAGAAACTGGAGAACGGGAGGGGGTTGTCCAGGGGTGTGTCGAAAAAGGGCTGTCCAAGGGGGGTTGTCTAGGGGCTGTCCAGCCCCAACTTGCTCCTCCCCCTCGTCTTCCTCGTCGTCCTCCTAGTGGCCTTCCCCCTCCAGCGCGGACGACCGTCGTAGCCAATTTCGTAAGGTGCGCCGCGTGCGTACCAAGTCGCCCGGGAAGCAGGTCAGAGACCACCGTTTCGAGGACCACCACGTTGTGCCGCGAGCGAACGGTGTCGTGTAGGAGGTGATCCAAACCGATACCAGGGTGAACGCCGAGGCGCGCCGCGCGCGAGCTGGCTCGCACGGGAGCCCCTGCGGGGACCGCCGCCGCAGCAGTCTCAACAGCGCGCCCGCGTGGGAACGACGTCGGGGGGCCACGATCACACGCGCGGAGTCCCTCCCGCACGTGGATATTGTCAGCCACAGCCACAACAAAGGGATTGTTGATACACTCGCCACAGCGATCTCCCCATGGTTTTTGTTGTTGTTTTTTGTTGTCCCTTTTTTCTTTCTCCATTTTTCATTTTTTTTCTGTGTCTCTCTCCCTCTCTCTTTCCCGCTCTCCTCCTGTCCCTCCAGCGTGGTTGCGACAGAAAGGAGGAAAAGAGGGGAGGACGAAGAGGAGGGGGAGGAGGAGGACGAAGAGCAACCGTACCACCACCGCGACGATGATGTAGATGGCGGCGGCCGTTGCCTCGGCGGCGGCGTCGCAGACCTGGGTTCAGAAACGCCGCGCGAGAGGCGGTGTGTTAAGTTCCGCTTGCGGCATCCTCGCAACGGTCGGTTCCGAACGCATGCGTGTGAAGTTGCCCAGCCCATCCCGCCCGAGACATCACTTGCCTCTCCTGGTTCCGTGATCATGCGCGCGAGGTTGTCCAGCCAGTTTTGCTAGAGTCATCCTCGCACCTCCGATCTGCCATGACCTGAAGTGGCCCAGCCAGCGTCGTATGAAACATCCTCGCAACGAAGGGTTCGGAGATGCCGCGCGCGACGTTTTCATTCCAGTGTCGCTTGAGACGTCCTCGCAGTTCTGGGCTCCAAGATGCCCTAACCGGAGGTGGTGTAGACCGTTCCTTCTGACATATTGTCATATGCCGTGCGTGATCTGGCGTGGCCAGTTTCGCTCGAGACGTCCTCGCAGTTATGGGCTCGGAGATGGTGCATGGGAAGTGCTCCAGCCAGTTCTACCTGAGCTACCGTCTCAAGTGTGGGCTCCTATGCGCCCAGCGGGTTCGTCGGCGACGTGCCACGCACGATATTATCCAGCCCAGTTCTCTTGACATATCATCGCAATTCTGGGCTCAGAGATGCCTCGCGATAGCTGGTCCGGTCCTGCGACGACGTCGCAACTTTAGGCTCCGAGATACCGCAAACGAGGTTGCCCAGCTAGTATCGCTCGAGATCTTCTCGCAACTCTGGTCTCCGAGATACCGCGGACGAGGCTGTCCAGGCAGTTTTGCATGAGACATCCTCGGGATTTTCTGGGTTCCGATATGCTCTGACCTGAGGTGGTCCGGCCACAGATTTTGGGCTAAAAGATGCCGCGCAGAAAGTTGTCTGGCAAGTTTTGCCTGAGATATCCTCGCATGTCTGGGTTCAGAGGTGCCCTGACAGGAGGTGTTCCAGGCAGGTGTACCCAAGACATCCATACAACCCTGGGTTCGGAGATGCCGCGCAACAGCAGGTCTGGCCAGTTCCGCCTGAGACATCCTTGCAACATTGCGCGCTGGCCATGTCCCTGATTGGGAACGGGTCTCTCGCCTCAACGCCAGCCACATCCTTATTCGGTATGCATGGTGTTGCCGCTCGAGTACCAGCAACATCCGTGATCGGGAAGGGTGCTCGAGCTCTGGCTACATCTCCGTTTGGGATTGGTGCTGTCGCCTTCGGGTTCAAGCCTCAGTTCCGGCCACAATCACATGCTGGGACGCTTATTGTATGCATCTTGTAGGGGCTGTCCGGGTTGTCCGGGGGGGTTGACCGGGATTTGTTTTGGATCGGATTCTTTCCATTGACCATAGTCGGTTCAACCTTGTGCAGATGGCTTCTTCGCGCTGAGCTCCACTCTTTGAGCTGTGCCTGCGAGGCCAGACGGGGCAGAGGGTGGGGGAGGAGGTCAGGGTCCGTCGGACTCGGCACCGCAGCAGTCTGCGCGCCGTCTTCCTGAAGGCTCTCACCGCGAGAGCCAAGGGGGCCACCCTCCACAGCAAATTGAGGCCCACTCCTGGCTTCCAGACGGCCCCACGCACAGAGACAAGACGGCGGCGGACGGCGCGAAGCGTCGGAGACGACAGGGCGGAAAGCGACGAACATGTGCAGGCGGCCTGGAGAGGATGGGAAAGAGAGGTGCAGTCATCGAGAATGCAATGCAGCTGGTGCGCCGCACCGTCGGGAGAGTCACCACCAATGGAGGATCATCGCCTTATTTTGGAGCAGTTGGTGTAGTAGGAAGCGAACCGTACGAATACTTGTCCTGGCGTCTATCACTCGCGGATAGCCCAGTACACTTAAATGGCCATCAACATTCGCAGCATGACAGCGAAGCATGGGGTAGATCACCAGTGCTAGCTCGTCTCGTCGCTATTCCACTCCACCTTCGGCAACTCCTTGTGTGCGCGCACTCGTCGGGAACGTGTGGCGCCGGGAGTACGGATAAGCCAAGCATAGCGGTCAAGAGAAAGACTCCGACGAGAGTGAAGTAGAGTGGGCAGCGTGGTTGCCAGCGTCCGCCTTCTGGGTCAGAGGTATGCCGGTATGTCGTTCAAAGATAACCTGGCAGGATGGTTTGTATGAGAACCGTACATCGTCGCGATGTGGGTGACAGCCCATATCGAGCGCCCCAGCTCGTGCCGGCGCACGGCCAGCTGAAAGCCAGGTGTCGCCACGCAGGCCAGAGTTGGCAATCGTGGTGCGGCGTGCTTCTCCCGGGCTCAAACTCCTGCATGAAGTTCTAGACGCTTCGGGCAACCCCACCAGCCCATCCGGAAACGATGCTCAGGTGAGTTGCCCTGGGGTCAAAGATGTGCAGGTGCTTGCAGTGAAATGAAGAGCAGGGGAAACCGAAACACCCCAAGAGGGGGATGATGGAAGAGGAATCGGAGGAGGAGGAGGAGGAGGGGGAGGAGGAGGGGGAGGGGGAGGAAGAGCAGGGAGGAGGAGGATGAGGAGGAGGAGGAGAAGGAGGATGATAGGTGGATGAGGAATAGGAGGAGGAGGAATAGGAGGAGGAGGAGGAGGGCGAGCAGAAAGGTCAGAGGCCTTTGGGATGCCTTGCTCAGTTTCTACAGATGTCTCTTGGTAGCGTTTTGGAGTACTCTGGGGGTGTCTTAGGGGACCCTGGCGGTCCCGGGGGCCTCTTGGAGCATCTCGGCTTTACCTCGGGGGAGCCTTTGGGGCCTGCTGGGTGTCTCCTGGGAGCCCCTCGGGGACCTCTCTGGGGCCTCTTGGGGCCTCCTGGGTGCCTCTGGCGAAGGCATCTATACACCACCACCGTGCCAGGCCAGGGCCGTCCCGGGCCCTAGGATGGGCCTGGCTCGGCGCGGTGGTGGTGTATAGGTGCCTTCTGCGTATCCTGGGCGCCTCTCGGGGCCCTCTTTGGGCACTCTTGGGAGGCGTTGGGGGTCATCTTGGGGCCGTGCTGGAGCAGTTGGTCAAAGAAGGGGAAGTATACTTGCTCAGCCTTGCCCTCCCCGGAGGCCAGCGCTGGCCACCAACTGAAGTACAATTGAAATGGCTTCTGCAGTCTAGCCGATGTCTTCGTGGACGCGCTAACGTCCTGCGGCCCCTCCCCTCCAGACCCAGGGGCAGGGGGTATGGGGAGGGGTCAAGAAGCTCCCCGCCCGCAAGCCGTCTCACTCACTCGCAGCCACCCTCCCAACACATAAGTAGCACCCCAGCCGCGGCGTGTGCAGCGGAATTCTTTGGATGGACAGCTAATGTGAACCAATTCAGACCCGATGTGCGCAACGCTGGGGCGAAGTGCGCCAGGCGTGCCAGGCACGCCACGCGCGCCAGGTGCGCCAGGCACCCAGGTGGCCCACGCGTGCCGGGCATGCCTGGTGCGCCAGATGCGCCATGTGATCCATGTGCGCCATGTGTGCCGCATGTTCCAGCCGCGCCAGGTGCGCCACGTTTTGGGCACGTGCAGAGTGTGCCAGGTGCGCCTGCGCACGTGGCGGTACACATCGAGAAACGAATCGACCCCCACC